TAGGACGACGACAAGGGGTTTGACTCCACACCAATGTCATCAAGGTAAGCTGGCTTGGTACACGAATTAGACTCACAGATTAGTTCAATATATAGTGAGTCAGCAAGCAAGCGATTAATAATTATTCCCAGGTTCCTGTTTCGGACAATCCTGATGTTGCTGTTTTTTAGAGCAATGCTATTGGCCTATTGCACACTGCGGTAAATATTTGAATCCAAGTTTTATTGATTCTACACTGCCTAAATTAACCACTATTTTCTTTTCTTCCTTCAGTTGCTCGGTCAAAGTGTGACAACCTGCTATGAGGTGGTTCTCTTATTGAATATGTGAGTAATATAAGTACTCCTATCGTCATAGCTGAGCAAGCTTTAGTGCATTATTTGTTAATAATGGATGGACTTTACTGCCACAGAGGTTGATCAAACTATCACAGGGCTGCGTATGAACAAGTCACTATACAGTCTTAGCTACACATGTGTAACGTCCGGCACAGCTGGCCTTTTCTTCGCGGGGATCTATCTGTTGGTACGTAACTATAAATAAAAGGAGTTTAAGTATTAAAAAATTTCTTAATTATAAAAAAATCTAAGAGTTCATGGGTTCAAGTCCTGGAAACAGCCTCTTGCAGAAATGTAAGGAAAGGTTGCGTACTAAAGACCCAAAGTGGTCGGACCCTTCCCAGAACCTTGCGCAAGCGGGAGCTACATGCACCGGGCTGCCCTTTATAAAAAAATCTAAGAGTAATCCCACATTCAACAACTTGAGTTTATATTTCACCTCTCAACTGAAAAACTAGACGAATGAAAATCTCAACCATGAAAATAAAGGATTGATACTCTAAGGTTGTTCCGATGGTAGTAGTTGGCATTGGACCACCCAATAAAGTGAACAAAAAGTCTTCAAGAAAGCATACGAAAAGCTATGAGTTCTTTTAGAAATAGTCCCAAAACTTTATTAAAATAAAGATAAAACAATCACAAAATGTAGAAATTCAGGAGAAGGGAAAAACTATACAAGAAAAAATAAATTAGGAACATGGTGGTTTCGACTATCTATTATTTTACATAGTATATAAAATTATCATTGATTTATAGTAAATTTAATGGTATGTTTTATTTATATGTTTTACTCCAGTTTTCTTGAGTTTATTTATTGACCACAGGAAACCACATTATCCAAAGCATCCACAAAATAGTCTCATGAGGGTAATGTGTCTGGTTTTGGTTGTTCGGTTTAGGTTTTGGTGGTTCCGTGCAATTTGACTAGTTTAAATATTTACGCATTAAATCTACTCTAATAAGAAAAGCTAAATACAAAATAGAGAAGAGGAAACTGAGAAACAAAAGCGTTGGAGTCATGCATGTTTTTCCTTGCCTTTGGAGCACTGGCTTGAACATTTGTAGGGCACAGTTCAGTCCCGAGAGCATCACAGACGTAAATGCTTGGATTGAGCATGCCCTTGCTGCCTTGCAGCATGAAAAAAAAAAGTTTTGTCATGCGCATGGAGTAGGATTTATCTCTGGTATTTCACTTGATTCTCTCCGTTTTATGTACTAAATATTATTTTTGTAGGTGGACGTGTACGGTTACAAGAGGCCGGTTCTCCCAATGGAGTTGATGGGAAAGCATGCCCTGATGATTTTTGTTGTGGTAGCATGCAACGTCGCGCCAATCCTGCTCCAGGGGTTCTACTGGAGGGTACCAAATAATAACCTTGTAAGGCACCTAAATTCTCTTCAATACCTTCTTTTCCAGGAATTTATCTCTGATACTAATTAACTAGCGATGTTTTGTGTGTGTGTGTGTGTGGGCGCGCGCGCGCGTATATATGATTGATGTTATCGTTTTTTGTCCGCTTGTCTTCTCAAACAGTTGAAACTCATTGGAAGAGGCGATTGATCTTCCCAGTTGCAAACTAGTTCAACTAATGCTCGAAGGAAGCATATTATCAACTATCAGTGCGCAAAGCCATCATCTATTTCACTTGAAGTCAAATGCAATTTCGTGAACCTCAAAGGAAACTTAATTTTTGGTTGTGAAATTGAGCTCTTATCGTCGGGCCTCATGATAGCATTCGTTAAGTAATGGTTCTTCCAAACAGTGCTAGCTAAGTGCGTGTATGTGTATTTTGTTGTGATTTTTTTTAAATTAAGAGTTTTAAAGATTCTTCGCCATGTATCTAGATGATGCAACTACAAAGAGTTCATCTTCCAACCTTTGTATAGTAGATGTACAAAACCGACAACATACAAACAGAAACACCTAGATATTATTGTCATAAAGACAATCGAAGAGGAGGTGACATATCATTGTTAGCACTTTTTTTCTTTGCGAAGATAACTTCCAATCTATTCATCAACTGTCAAGGTAGTAACAAGAACACTAGAAGTAAAAACTACATATAGGTCCGTAGACCACCTAACGATGACTACTAGCACTGGAGTGAGCCAAACGCACCGCCGGCAAACCTTGTTGTAGTAGATAGTCGGAAAGTCGTCATGCTAAGGCCCCATAGGACTAGCACACTAAAAACAGCAACTGATGCCGATGAAGAGAAGCGTAGATTGGAAGGATCCAACATGTAGACACACGAATACAGATGAACGAAGACAGAATGCACGTGGATCCACCAAAGATAAATGCCGACCGAATTCCGGGAAATCCGCCAGAGAAAAACCTTCACACACCCTCTGACGATGCTAGAAACACCATCCGGACGGGGACTAGGTGGGAGAACCTTATTCCATCTCCAGAGAGTCGCCGCCGCTTTGCCTCACTGAGTAGGACAAAAACCCTAACAAAACTCAAAAAAGTAAGAAAAAACGAAGCCCTCCTGTCAGCAAGGGCCAGGATCCACCACGTATCCATGGCCCTAAGACCACAAGAGACAAGGTAGACCGACGCGACAACGACGGGAGGCATGAGAAACCCTAGCCAAAGGGTCACCTTTCTTCCACGGGAAGAATGAAGTCATTGTTTGCACTTGCGAAATTAATAAAGTTAGCAGAGGTTGTGAGCTAGTTTGGTTTGTGTCTACAAGTATCGCGTGGGAAAAAAGCTGCCTGGTGTGGACACGAGGAGCTAGCAATTGCTGCCTGGCCAGGCTAGCCTAAAGAAAATGTGTTTGGATGAAGACTGACCTGGTGAATAGTTAAATGGATTAAAAAAAGAATCTAGGACACTATAGATGCAGGAGTGCCATCGTTTTGTGATTAGTAATTCTCAGGCAACAATTAGCATCCAGGCCGGCTTCCCAGGCGCTCGAAACTGAACGCCTGGGGTCGCCTTGGTCTGGCTGGACCAGGCTAACAAAAGTGCTCAAGTATCCAGGCCAGGCTGGCTTCCTCGGTCCGAGGACAGCAAGCAAACAGCTTCTCTGAAAATCCAGGCAGGCTCCAGGCTTTATATAGGCTATAGGAGCCCTTGATACATTGCCAATATATCTATGGTGACGGTAAAGGTGGGGTGCAGGGTCCATGGTTGACTAAGGCCATGTACAATGGTAGCATATGAATACAGATGCCCCATGATAAAAAGTAATTTGATGCATCTATATTAATTTTTCTCCCCAATACAAGCTATCACTAGTGGACCTCATCAAAGAATAGAAAATAAAGACCGTCACCAGACATGTATCCCTACTTTTCACTTCAACCTTTTCAACTTTATGCACCGGATAACACTTTTTCTTCCCAAGCATCCGCCTCCTGCAGAGGATCCTGCTGCTCTATCCAAATCTACTTTTTGTGACATCCGATTCTACGTGGCCTATGAGGCATCACCTTGGGGCTATACATTGGCCATGCCCTAACACACTCACACCTCCACCCACCGAGTTTTTTGTTTCTTCTCTTGTGCCTTCATCTTTGGATTTTCCCTGTTAGATCATTCTTCTCCTTTACTTGTTGACCATTACGAGTTGACTGTACATTTCTTAAGTTAACTTTGACAATTTGCGATGTAGACCAATGTTCGACTAGATGGGATCCCCATGTACTTCCTCCGTCCGAAAAAACTTGTCATCAAAATGGACAAAAAGGGGTGTATCTAGAACTAAAATACATCTAGATACATCCCGTTTTATTCATTTTGATGACAAGTATTTCCGGACGGAGGGAGTAGAATTGACAATTCACGCAACAGTGGAAAATGTTTAAGTTGCTACACACAACCAATGCCACTGGAAGGCTCCACAGCTGCTCCTGCGAGGGCTACGGACAGTAGTATAACTCACCGGCAAAATTCATGATTACTTCCACAAAAATTGTTCTGCGTATCCAACAACTGTAGTAGTATAACTCGCCGAAAAAGAAGCAGAAAGCAACAAAGTACTCCAGCTACAAATTATGGAGGATTTCGTTCCTATCTTCAGATAACCAGACATCTGATCAGCCACTGCACGAATTAAGAAAGAAAGAAAACATCGCATCTTATCACCTGCAGATACTGCGCCGCTATCTGCGGCCTTGTGATCTCGTGTACCCATGCAGAAACGAAAAAGAAAAGAGATATACAAACATCATAACTGCAAAAGGTCACGGTTCATACTCGGCAGTCATGTAAATGCAGAGATATGTACCTGCATAGCATACAGTACTGTTTTCTAGTAGCCACATTGTTGAAGCAACTTGCGGTCTTCTTGTAAAAACTCAGGGTAACCTCTACTAATTTATTCATGACTGTTACATCATCCACAAGGTTGCCCCTGGAAGAAACTTCGCCAGGAGCTTGATTTCCTCGTAAATTGCATCAGCGGCATCATCATCAAACCCAAAGCTGCATTCAGACTCTGCAACCACATGCCATGCTTAACAATGGCGACACTTGAGACCATAAATAAAGACTTGACATACATATATCCTGGAACCATAACGGTGCAAGCCAGGCAGAAGAACAGCAAGTGCACGGAAAACCTTTAGCGTATGGGAAGTCTGGAACATAAAGGCCTCTCATCCTCACCATCAGTATCAGAATACGCCCCTTCTTTGAACTGCAGGAGTCTAAGTCGTTCCTCGAATAAAGGGTCTGAAAGCTATAGGTAAATCATCCTCATCACTGGTGTCAAAATAGTGCCGTTCTTGAACTGCAGGAGCTGGAGGCGTTCCTTGGAGACGGGCACTTCTGAAAGCTATAGGAAAATAATCCTCATCATCGGTATCAGATTGTAGAACAACACGAGCCGGAGCCGTTCCTCGAACACGGGGTCTGCTGACACTTACAGGTCTAGCATCCTCCTCGTCCTCCTCCACCTGCCCATCATCATGATAAGTATTGGGCCTTAGTTGAACAGCAGGGTGAGATCTTATGAGACTTAAAGGTCGTTCATCCTCCTCCTCCTCCTCCTCCTCAGCAAGGCGGGATCTTCTGACACTTAAAGGTCTTTCATCTTCCTCCTCCTCCTCATTGTCCTCATCATTCTCGTCCTCCTCCACCTCCTCCTCCTCCTCCTTAGCAGGGTGAGATCTTCTATGACTTTTAGGTATATCATCATCATCATCCTCATCACAAGTATCGGGCCTATGTTGAAGTGCAGAAGTTGGGCCCTTCCCTCGAAAACAAGATCTGCTGTGACTTAAAGTTTGCTGATTAATGGTGGCTCTAAGCATGATACCGTTTGCATCGTCAGAAACCTTTCCCTTGGGAAGTATTAAGTCATACACTGTCGGAAGCCCATCAGAGAGTGAAGAGCTCCTTATGTGGCAGTTTGTACTTCCACAACAGCCAGTTGTTATGCAGTCGTAACTCAGATTACATGTGAACTTCGATTTCCTCCTGTTTGGTTTGACACAGACGACTGAGATGACATGTCCAAAAGGCTCTGATGCCATGCTGAGCAAGAAAAAGTAGCTGTTCCTGGTGCATTGCAAAACATGTAAGCCCGGCTGCAGGCAGAGAGACACTGTGCCAGAGTCTGGGAGGGTTGTCAATGGACACTTGTGCTGGGTCGTGAAATGTTCCAGGAGCACCTTTGTTGGTCCAGCGAAGCCACAACCAGGCTCTGGGCAGAAGCATGGGGCGTATGGGCATGCCTCCTTGTGCTCTTCTTTCTTGTAGTAGGTGACTGTCTCGGCACATCCGTACATCTCATTGGAGCAAGCTACTGTAACTGACTCGACAACATGTTCCATCCCAAAGCAGCGCTCGAATGTAGTCTCTACAGAGCATAAATGACAGCCAGCACAAGATTAAAGCCGGCAAAAGAAGAATAAAACCAAAAAAGGGGGAGCCCGGCAATAAAGATATCTGGAAAAAAATCAACAAAATGACAGCCTACTTAGTCACCTTCAAGCGCTACTCGGCCCGCATGTACCATGGTAGAGATTGGTGCATGCGCTTAGGCATTTGTTGTGCAGTCTGACCATCCAGGTTTAATTCTTAGAATTGATGCATGATTTATATGATATTCCCTTTTATTTACTTGAGAAGCAAATTGGTGCGTGGTCGGACTGAAAAAGTTGTGCTACACCCGGATGCATTGTACCCATGATGAATAGTAAAATCAAAACAAATAGGAAAAAAAACTGAAACTTTGTGACTTTCATTATGACCAAATGTTTTAGGTGCTTGCAAAATTTGGTAGCCAAATAACATAAAATGAGCTCCATACAAACAAACCAAAAAATCTGCTCATCAAACAGTGCACACAAGTTTGAGCACATTTTTGTTATGTTTGTTATGGAACTCCTCGAATGTCATTTGGCAACCAAATTTTGCAAGAACCTAGAACCTTTGATCATATCAAGTCACAAAGTTTAGATTTTTATTTTATTTTATTTACTTTATTTTATTTTACTGTTCATCATGGGTGCAATTCACCAGGGTATAGAAAAATCACACTCAGGTGGGACTACCCATCAATATAGTGCTTTTGGTACTCATAGTTACATATCCTTGAGGGTCAGACTTGGCCAAGATAAAAATCCAGCTACTAATACTGAAAAAACGGTTGTGTGCATCTCTAATTCTCTAATTGGTTCAGAGGTCGAGAGAAGTGAAATTCTCTCTCAAATTTGAAGCGCGTGAGATTCGGAGGATGAAAACATATACGTATTAGCCCACTTGCGGGAATATACTCCCTCCGTTCCTGAATATAAGTCTTTCTGGAGATTTCAACATGGACTACATACGGATGTATATAGACGTAGTTGAGAGTGTAGCTTCCCTCATTTTGCTCCGTATGTAGTCTATATTAGAATCTCTAAAAAAGACTTATATTTAGGAACGGAGGGAGTATATGTTAGCTATATGAAGCCAAATGGTGAGGACAAAAGCATTTTACACGCGTGCATGGAATATGTTCTTAAGGTTTGCTTGGTTGGTTCTCTGAACTGAACTAGACCATTGGGACTGAATGTTCTTATTGTAATGCAGGTTGATTCCGATTTGGTTTGTGGTCCCGATTTTTCTGAATGAAAGGTGTTTATAGTGTAAGAAAAAGAAATGTGAGCTTGCTGATGGAGGCAGGAGAGGACGCTTGCGCACCCGGTATATAAATCTGCAATGGGCGCTAGTGGCTGGAACACTGGAAGCTCAGAGATAGTAGCGCTCACCATCACCATTATCATCTAGATCAGCAGCAGTATGTCGGCTCCGAAGATCATCGTCCATGGCAGTGGTGACGAGCTTCAGGAGGGAGACGAGGATCACCACCCTGACGTCGAGGCGGGTGACAGCGGTGGCACAACGACGACGAGCAGTACACAGGTGGCGGCGCCGGGGCGGGAGCGCCTCGTGTCACTCGACGTCTTCAGGGGGATCACCATTGCGGTCAGCGAACTTTCTACCTTTCTAGCTATCCCCATATAGTACTGGTCACAAAGCACACACTGGAATACATAGCTTCATGCATGCATGACGTGAAAGCACCGGGAAAAACTAAGGTAGAGACTTCAAATAATATAATCTAACCCACTCCGACACATTACACATAAAAATAGGCAAAAGAGATAATTTGGCATAAAGGCATTCTGGCCCTTATTTTATAAGGAGGTCATAAGTTGGGCTCCACCTTAACTTAGACCAACAAATTCCGTCGATGCTTACTCCAACCACTCAACCTGGCAACCCCTTGCTAACTTCATGTGACGGAAGAGAAAAATTGTTTTTTTATTTCCTATGGTCTAGTTAGTCTTTGATTTTGTTGTTGTTGTTGTTGCTGTTGTTGTAAGGGCCTCTCCTCACAATGTTATTAATTACAATTTGAAAGCTTCCAATGAAATTAAGAAAACTCGTGAAAGCTATTTGTTTTTTCTGCGTAAATTATGTGTCCTAAGAGTTTTGGAGACCTCAACACTGAAATCTTTGGACCTCCATGAAACATTGTTTGGAAGAAACTACCTTTACATTAAATCACATCTCTTCTCTTTCATTTTTAAAAAGGGTGAAGTTTTGTCACTTTTTATTAATTAAGGTCTAACTAGAAAATCCATGTTGCAACTCAGAAGCCATGGGTAGAAGCCTCAAAAATAATTTTAACCTCTCCCGCCCCATATTAATTTAACCTAATGAAATATCTATACATTACAGCTCATGATCATTGTTGACGATATTGGTGGTCTCATTCCAAAGATAAGCCACTCGCCGTGGGATGGCGCCACACTAGCGGATTTTGTGTTCCCCTTCTTCCTCTTCGTCGTGGGAATCTCATTGGCCTACGCCTACAAAGTAGTACTACTAGTGCTCGTAATATTAAATTATCAAACACTAATACCAACTCACGACTAAACCATTTTTGTGCAGAGGGTGTCAAATAGAGTGTCAGCAACCAAGAAGGCCGTGCTCAGAGCTGCAAATCTCTTTCTTCTAGGCCTCTTGCTTCAAGGTAAATATACATGAGTTTAGCTTGTGACCTTCATCAGAAGACATGCCAACTGTGGTATTTTTGACATCCTATCACTTTTGATTACAAACATAATCTGGTTTATTACATGATTGTTCGTCCACATACTATAACAGTGTCACAACCATATAATAATATAATGTAAATAGTTGCATTAGAGGTAATCATGCATCATGTTTTAATTCAAAGAAATTCGAATTGAGGAATATTTCAAAGCCTCAAATTAAATAAAGAGATAAAACCCTAAAAATGTATTGGATGAACCCAAAATACTCTTCCTTAATGTTTGATAAAAAGATATTCTTATATTTTAGTAGAGTAGTTTATTATACAACTCTAGTGATCATAATATATATAATATATTCTTACATTAGTTATATGATGGTGGTGTAATTATAGTTAATAAAGGTGGAGTAATAATTTGGTCATGAAAATAAAAGTACCCTTTTTAGCAATAGAAAAATCCAAGTGGTTCTGAGAGCAAACATTTTATAGTTGTAAAACTATGAACTTCTATTTTCAAGGTGGCTTCTTCCACAACATACATGATCTTACATATGGGGTTGATATTGGCAAGATACGATTAATGGGTGTCTTACAGGTACCAATCATCACCAACCTATCTATTACGGACATAATTCTTTGTTCTGTCACACGCACAACAATTTTTTATGTTTTATTTTCATGTAAAAAACAGGAGGGAGATCTGTGCATGTGATTCAGCACAACAAATACCGTTTTATTTGATATGTCTCACTTGATGTAGAGAATTGCAATGGCATACCTAGTGGTGGCGCTGTGCGAAATCTGGCTACGGGGTGGTAGAGAAGGTGGCATAGGCTCTGGCTACACAATAATCAGAAAATACCGATGCCAGCTGTGAGCATAGCACACTGACCTATACAAAATCGTTGTCATTTAAGTTACTTAACTAGTTAATTGGCCTTTTTATTATTCACATAATTCATCCCTTCAATTCTTTTTGTGAAGTCTTGTGGGTTTAGTCCTCACGGCCATATACACAGTGATTTTGTACGGTTTGCCCGTGCCGGACTGGGTGTACGATGTCACATCATCGGACTCAACCATGAAGCATTTTGTAGTAAGCTTTCACTTCTAAAAAGTATTTCCCATTTCATATTCGTATGCATTTTTCTTAAGAACCTTTGTTGTTATTTTTTCTTTGATTAAATGCAGGTGAAATGTGGAGTGAGAGGGCATACAGGACCAGGTTGCAATGCCGTTGGCATGATCGATCGAAGTATCTTTGGAATCCAACATCTTTATACACGCCCGGTCTATCTCAAAACAGAGGTATATATTCAATCAAATTGTAACCACAAGAGATAGTGGGGTCATGAAAATCTAGATATCTTGTTTTATTCAATATTCCTAGTATGGTCGTGACATATTCTCTCATATTTCCATTTGGAACTTGTAGTGGTGCAGCATCGACTCCCCCAACAATGGACCACTCCCGTCTTACGCGGCACCATGGTGTGAAGCCCCTTTCGATCCAGAGGGCCTCCTAAGGTGTGAAAATAGTGACATCTTCCTCAGTTAGCCATTGACCAATTGAAGATGCATCTGAATCTCACTATATACTGATCATCTTCATGTACAATGTAGCTCCTTGATGGCAATAGTCACCTGCTTGGTCGGGCTCCAGTTTGGACATGTCATCATCCACTTTAAAGTATATATATCCTTCTGCCTCACCAGAATCTCAGTTTTCCTTTTATATGATGGCCACTGGATTACTCTCTCCCCGACTAAGCAACTCCGAGAGACTTTTCATGGCAAAAGTTGTTGCCTGTCTCAGATGAGGAAATCATTATTTTCATGGGTGCTTAAGTTTGTCCGCCATTTAAACTTGTTGCTAGGAAGTGTCCCTAGAGACTAGTCCAATTTGTTGTTATGTGTTAGTTCACCGTCAACAAAATCCTAGTTCCTGATGATAAACTCTACATCATTCATGCAGGGGCACGACGAGAGAATGGTGCGGTGGTCCCTCTCGGCGTTGATATTATTGGCTCTAGGCTTCTCACTCGACTTGTTTGGTAATTATTTTGCTGACTAATTAATTATCTTGTGATTGCAAGAAATAATAAGTTTGTGACTTTGTAAACAGCATGGTTAATGAGGCGTTTTGGGTTGACATATATGCAGGGCTGCGTATGAACAAGTCACTATACAGTCTTAGCTACACATGTGTAACGTCCGGCACAGCTGGCCTTTTCGTCGCGGGGATCTATCTGTTGGTATGTAACTATAAATAAAAGGAGTTTAAGTATTAAAAAATTTCTTAATTATAAAAAAATCTAAGAGTTCATGGGTTCAAGTCCTGGAAACAGCCTCTTGCAGAAATGTAAGGAAAGATTGCGTACTAAAGACCCAAAGTGGTCGGACCCTTCCCAGAACCCTGCGCAAGCGGGAGCTACATGCACCGGGCTGCCCTTTATAAAAAAATCTAAGAGTAATCCCACATTCAACAACTTGAGTTTATATTTCACCTCTCAACTAAAAAACTAGACGAATGAAAATCTCAACCATGAAAATAAAGGATTGATACTCTAAGGTTGTTCCGATGGTAGTAGTTGGCATTGGACCACCCAATAAAGTGAACAAAAAGTCTTCAAGAAAGCATACGAAAAGCTATGAGTTCTTTTAGAAATAGTCCCAAAACTTTATTAAAATAAAGATAAAACAATCACAAAATGTAGAAATTCAGGAGAAGGGAAAAACTATACAAGAAAAAATAAATTAGGAACATGGTGGTTTCGACTATCTATTATTTTACATAGTATATAAAATTATCATTGATTTATAGTAAATTTAATGGTATGTTTTATTTATATGTTTTACTCTAGTTTTCTTGAGTTTATTTATTGACCACAGGAAACCACATTATCCAAAACATCCACAAAATAGTCTCATGAGGGTAATGTGTCTGGTTTTGGTTGTTCGGTTTAGGTTTTGGTGGTTCCGTGCAATTTGACTAGTTTAAATATTTACGCATTAAATCTACTCTAATAAGAAAAGCTAAATACAAAATAGAGAAGAGGAAACTGAGAAACAAAAGCGTTGGAGTCATGCATGTTTTTCCTTGCCTTTGGAGCACTGGCTTGAACATTTGTAGGGCACAGTTCAGTCCCGAGAGCATCACAGACGTAAATGCTTGGATTGAGCATGCCCTTGCACAAGGCCGGTCCTGAGATTTTGGGGGCCCGGGGCGAGATTAAAACGCGGGGCCCTTAAGATAGACATCTTAACACTAACAATCAATATACATATATATGAAATATTATCTATAACAATGCATCCAAAACCAAAATGCATATCAACTAATTTATAATTCTTACCTTAAATTTAGAAATAGATCATATACCTCAACAGCACATGAACCATCAAGAGAGAAAATTTAACTTGAGCTCAATAAAAATCTGAATATATCTTTAGACACCATGAGTTCTTTAAATCTATCTTTGAAAGAAGTGATCGACATATCAACCAAAAAACAACTATTTAACTTGAAGGTCTTCCTAGCTTCTAGAATTTCTTGTTGGAAATCACTTTCGTCAAATTGTTTGTTCCTCGTAGCACGACTTTTTACAAAAAATAATGGCTCTATACTCATTTTAGTTGTAATACCTTTGGCAATTTGCAAACTAGCAGAAAACTCTTCATCTCTGTACTTCTCAAAATACCGTGTTATACCTTGTATTTTCTTCATCTTCCTTCTATCGCTACCAGATGCATACTGTTTTCGGGCGACAAGATAAGACACAATGTTAAAAGGAAAATTGCATCAACGGTTGAACAGTGCCGCCATGCCGGCTATGAACCCGTGGAATCACAATACGATTTATGAATATATGACATACCTTACAGTAGAATTGGTGATGGACAGAAAGCAAAGCCGGGATACGGCAGGGCCCCAAGGAATTGAAATCGGCGGCGAGCTACTGACGATCTAAAATAGGACAGAAATTGGGATCAGAAGGAAAGGGAAAAGGAGCATCGGGCGCGCAGTCACGAACAGAGGAAGCATCGGCGGCCTGGAGTCGCTGCATCAATGCGAGATGTAATAGGAAGGGATCAATTACGTTTTTTAGACATTTTTTCTTTTTATACGTGAAAGATGAAAGAAGGAAGGAAACGACCGCTGTCTCCGTGGCCTGCTGACTGAGCTGCTGCACGAGCGTATGCCTCCATGCTGCGGGAGGCCCAGTTGCCCAACCCGATAGGGAGTTTTTCTGTTGTGGAAAACGTTGGGCCATAACCTACATACCTGGGGAGGGGCCCCTAGACTTTGGGGGCCCGGGGCGGCCGCCCCCCTGCCCCTCCCCAGGGCCGGCCCTGCCCTTGCAGCATGAAAAAAAAGTTTTGTCATGCGCATGGAGTAGGATTTATCTCTGGTATTTCACTTGATTCTCTCCGTTTTATGTACTAAATATTATTTTTGTAGGTGGACGTGTACGGTTACAAGAGGCCGGTTCTCCCAATGGAGTTGATGGGAAAGCATGCCCTGATGATTTTTGTTCTGGTAGCATGCAACGTCGCGCCAATCCTGCGCCAGGGGTTCTACTGGAGGGTACCAAATAATAACCTTGTAAGGCACCTAAATTCTCTTCAATACCTTCTTTTCCAGGAATTTATCTCTGATACTAATTAACTAGCGATGTTTTGTGTGTGTGTGTGTGTGCGTGCGCGCGCGCGTATATATGATTGATGTTATCATTTTTTGTCTGCTTGTCTTCTCAAACAGTTGAAACTCATTGGAAGAGGCGATTGATCTTCCCAGTTGCAAACTAGTTCAACTAATGCTCGAAGGAAGCATATTATCAACTATCAGTGCGCAAAGCCATCATCTATTTCACTTGAAGTCAAATGCAATTTCGTGAACCTCAAAGGAAACTTAATTTTTGGTTGTGAAATTGAGCTCTTATTGTCGGGCCTCATGATAGCATTCGTTAAGTAATGGTTCTTCCAAACAATGCTAGCTAAGTGCGTGTATGTGTATTTTGTTGTGATTTTTTTTTAAATTAAGAGTTTTAAAGATTCTTCGCCATGTATCTAGATGATGCAACTACAAAGAGTTCATCTTCCAACCTTTGTATAGTAGATGTACAAAACCGACAACATACAAACAGAAACACCTAGATATTATTGTCATAAAGACAATCGAAGAGGAGGTGACATATCATTGTTAGCACTTTTTTTCTTTGCGAAGATAACTTCCAATCTATTCATCAACTGTCAAGGTAGTAACAAGAACACTAGAAGTAAAAACTACATATAGGTCCGTAGACCACCTAACGATGACTACTAGCACTGGAGTGAGCCAAACGCACCGCCGGCAAACCTTGTTGTAGTAGATAGTCGGAAAGTCGTCATGCTAAGGCCCCATAGGACCAGCACACTAAAAACAGCAACCGATGCCGATGAAGAGAAGCGTAGATTGGAAGGATCCAACATGTAGACACACGAATACAGATGAACGAAGACAGAATGCACGTGGATCCACCAAAGATAAATGCCGACCGAATTCCGGGAAATCCGCCAGAGAAAAACCTTCACACACCCTCTGACGATGCTAGAAACACCATCCAGACGGGGACTAGGTGGGAGAACCTTATTCCATCTCCAGAGAGTCGCCGCCGCTTTGCCTCACTGAGTAGGACAAAAACCCTAACAAAACTCAAAAGAGTAAGAAAAAACGAAGCCCTCCTGTCAGCAAGGGCCAGGATCCACCACGTATCCATGGCCCTAAGACCACAAGAGACAAGGTAGACCGACGGCGACACTGATGGGAGGCATGAGAAACCCTAGCCAAAGGGTCACCTTTCTTCCACAGGAAGAATGAAGTCATTGTTTGCACTTGCGAAATTAATAAAGTTAGCAGAGGTTGTGAGCTAGTTTGGTTTGTGTCTACAAGTATCGCGTGGGAAAAAAGCTGCCTGGTGTGGACACGAGGAGCTAGCAATTGCTGCCTGGCCAGGCTAGCCTAAAGAAAATGTGTTTGGATGAAGACTGACCTGGTGAATAGTTAAATGGATTAAAAAAAGAATCTAGGACACTATAGATGCAGGAGTGCCATCGTTTTGTGATTAGTAATTCTCAGGCAGCAATTAGCATCCAGGCCGGCTTCCCAGGCGCTCGAAACTGAACGCTTGGGGTCGCCTTGGTCTGCCTGGACCAGGCTAACAAAAGTGCTCAAGTATCCAGGCCAGGCTGGCTTCCTCGGTCCGAGGACAGCAAGCAAACAGCTTCTCTGAAAATCCAGGCAGGCTCCAGGCTTTATATAGGCTATAGGAGCCCTTGATACATTGCCAAGATATCTATGGTGATGGTAAAGGTGGGGTGCAGGGTCCATGGTTGATTAAGGCCATGTACAATGGTAGCATATGAATACAGATGCCCCATAATAAAAAGTAATTTGAGGCATCTATATTAATTTTTCTCCCCAATACAAGCTATCACTAGTGGACCTCATCAAAGAATAGAAAATAAAGACTGTCACCACACATGTATCCCTACTTTTCACTTCAACCTTTTCAACTTTATGCACCGGACAACACTTTTTCTTCCCAAGCATCCGCCTCCTGCAGAGGATCCCGCTGCTCTATCCAAATCTACTTTTTGTGACATCCGATTCTACGTGGCCTATGAGGCATCACCTTGGGGCTATATATTGGCCATGCCCTAACACACTCACACCTCCACCCACCGAGTTTTTTGTTTCTTCTCTTGTGCCTTCATCTTTGGATTTTCCCTGTTAGATCATTCTTCTCATTTACTTGTTGACCATTACGAGTTGACTGTACATTTCTTAAGTTAACTTTGACAATTTGCGATGTAGACCAATGTTCGACTAGATGGGATCCCCATGTACTTCCTCCGTCCGAAAAAACTTGTCATCAAAATGGACAAAAAGGGGTGTATCTAGAACTAAAATACATCTAGATACATCCCGTTTTATTCATTTTGATGACAAGTATTTCCGGACGGAGGGAGTAGAATTGACAATTCACGCAACAGTGGAAAATGTTTAAGTTGCTACACACAACCAATGCCACTGGAAGGCTCCACAGCTGCTCCTGCGAGGGCTACGGACAGTAGTATAACTCACCGGCAAAATTCATGATTACTTCCACAAAAATTGTTCTGCGTATCCAACAACTGTAGTAGTATAACTCGCCGAAAAAGAAGCAGAAAGCAACAAAGTACTCCAGCTACAAATTATGGAGGATTTCGTTCCTATCTTCAGATAACCAGACATCTGATCAGCCACTGCACGAATTAAGAAAGAAAGAAAACATCGCATCTTATCACCTGCAGATACTGCGCCGCTATCTGCGGCCTTGTGATCTCGTGTACCCATGCAGAAACGAAAAAGAAAAGAGATATACAAACATCATAACTGCAAAAGGTCACGGTTCATACTCGGCAGTCATGTAAATGCAGAGATATGTACCTGCATAGCATACAGTACTGTTTTCTAGTAGCCACATTGTTGAAGCAACTTGCGGTCTTCTTGTAAAAACTCAGGGTAACCTCTACTAATTTATTCATGACTGTTACATCATCCACAAGGTTGCCCCTGGAAGAAACTTCGCCAGGAGCTTGATTTCCTCGTAAATTGCATCAGCGGCATCATCATCAAACCCAAAGCTGCATTCAGACTCTGCAACCACATGCCATGCTTAACAATGGCGACACTTGAGACCATAAATAAAGACTTGACATACATATATCCTGGAACCATAACGGTGCAAGCCAGGCAGAAGAACAGCAAGTGCACGGAAAACCTTTAGCGTATGGGAAGTCTGGAACATAAAGGCCTCTCATCCTCACCATCAGTATCAGAATACGCCCCTTCTTTGAACTGCAGGAGTCTAAGTCGTTCCTCGAATAAAGGGTCTGAAAGCTATAGGTAAATCATCCTCATCACTGGTGTCAAAATAGTGCCGTTCTTGAACTGCAGGAGCTGGAGGCGTTCCTTGGAGACGGGCACTTCTGAAAGCTATAGGAAAATAATCCTCATCATCGGTATCAGATTGTAGAACAACACGAGCCGGAGCCGTTCCTCGAACACGGGGTCTGCTGACACTTACAGGTCTAGCATCCTCCTCGTCCTCCTCCACCTGCCCATCATCATGATAAGTATTGGGCCTTAGTTGAACAGCAGGGTGAGATCTTATGAGACTTAAAGGTCGTTCATCCTCCTCCTCCTCCTCCTCCTCAGCAAGGCGGGATCTTCTGACACTTAAAGGTCTTTCATCTTCCTCCTCCTCCTCATTGTCCTCATCATTCTCGTCCTCCTCCACCTCCTCCTCCTCCTCCTTAGCAGGGTGAGATCTTCTATGACTTTTAGGTATATCATCATCATCATCCTCATCACAAGTATCGGGCCTATGTTGAAGTGCAGAAGTTGGGCCCTTCCCTCGAAAACAAGATCTGCTGTGACTTAAAGTTTGCTGATTAATGGTGGCTCTAAGCATGATACCGTTTGCATCGTCAGAAACCTTTCCCTTGGGAAGTATTAAGGCATACACTGTCGGAAGCCCATCAGAGAGTGAAGAGCTCCTTATGTGGCAGTTTGTACTTCCACAACAGCCAGTTGTTATGCAGTCGTAACTCAGATTACATGTGAACTTCGATTTCCTCCTGTTTGGTTTGACACAGACGACTGAGATGACATGTCCAAAAGGCTCTGATGCCATGCTGAGCAAGAAAAAGTAGCTGTTCCTGGTGCATTGCAAAACATGTAAGCCTGGCTGCAGGCAGAGAGACACTGTGCCAGAGTCTGGGAGGGTTGTCAATGGACACTTGTGCTGGGTCGTGAAATGTTCCAGGAGCACCTTTGTTGGTCCAGCGAAGCCACAACCAGGCTCTGGGCAGAAGCATGGGGCGTATGGGCATGCCTCCTTGTGCTCTTCTTTCTTGTAGTAGGTGACTGTCTCGGCACATCCGTACATCTCATTGGAGCAAGCTACTGTGACTGACTCGACAACATGTTCCATCCCAAAGCAGCGCTCGAATGTAGTCTCTACAGAGCATAAATGGCACTTGCCATCCAGTTGATGCGTACAGCAATGCGAGCATACGAAATGCCCCACGGAGCACTGTGGAATAGAAAGAGTTAACTGGGTCTCATGAGGATAAATTTTAACATAAACGTACATTTTAGTTTCAAGAAACATAAAAGAACAACATCATAGGTAAGTAACATTATAGTTCATTGTTTGAGTTGCCATAGCTATATTATGTTACGCTCACAAGAAACATGTCCTTGCCAAGTAGCGCCATGTCCAAAGATAGATTCATCAAAGCTCTTATTTTACCTTGAGCTTTATCACTGAGATAAAAGCTTGAGTTGAAAGACGAGACAACACGCCGTGCATTTACCTGGAGTATTGGAGGCCTGAGGGGCTTCAAGCAGATGGGGCAGTCAAGGTGCTCCATCCCCACAGTGACATTCAGCCTTTTGGCGCTGCTCTCTCCCTCTCGCTGCGCTTCGGCTTTTCTCTTGCTGGAGCTACTGCCATCCATCGCCAACAAAATTCCATGGTGCGCGCACTGGCTTGGTTGGTGTATGCTAGTGTTACAAACGCAACCCGCGCTAATTTGTCAACACAATCTCACCGCCGCTATGCTCCCATGTTCTACAAGATACACAGATAAAAGTCACAAAATGGCACTTATTCAAACGGGACTGAATAATCGATCAAACAGGTTGAGGACTGCAAGTTTTAACAAATATATGGTGGTGCTCTTGTTCTGGCAGAAAAGTGTATTTGAGCCGATTTGCGCTATTAGGCGTGCGCCGATACGATAGCGGTACGTTATTGGGTAATCAGAGCGACGATGCATATGCAAGTAATCTGACAGAGAAGCAGTAAAAAGAAGAAATTTGTATTCAGATTCAGAGTTTTGGCACTGCCGACGGACCTAGGTTTTCGAATCGAGAGCGATGTGGATGTACCTAGGTTTTCTCCGTATGGGTCTGTCCGCTGCAAGACCTAGTAGCCCTCGCTGGCTCGAGGTCGCCGTTTCCTGATGGCCGCGCCACCGGATACGAGGTCGCCGCCTCCGGCGACCTCCCTCTCCGACGAAAGTGGGGAGAAGACTGATGTTCCCTCGCCGGAGAGTCCTCCACTGGACCCCCGCCGCCCGCGCGCGCCGGTCGACCCGAGCCTGACCGGAGAGATGGGGTTGGGGAAAAGGAGGATGCGAGCGCGACGGCGGCACGGCAGCGGAGAGCTCGGCGGCGCCAGAGGGGGGAGTGGCTGGCCAAGCTTTGGGTGAAGAGAGAGTGGGCTGGATGATGGGCCTGGCCGTTTGCGTTCTGGGCATTTTTTTTCCTTTTTGTGTGTGTGATTTGCCTTCGTACTAAACTTTAAAACCTCCGCTAAAAAAACTAAACTTTAAAACCTTTTCTCAAAAAAAACTAAACTTTAAAATTTGCTAAAAAACTAAACTTTAAAATAGATTCTAAAAAAACCTAACTTTACAATAGTTTCAAAATATAGAACAAGTCGCATATGTCATCTTTTATGAACTTTATTAAAAAAAACTCTTGTGTACGCTTTTAATTCGTGCGAATAAAAGCTTAACAGCATCTTTTTCCTACAAACACCAACAGAAAAAGATGATATCATATTCAATAATCAATATTTGATCATACACTAGTAGAAAAAGGGCCTGTTGTCCCGGTTCGTAAGGGCTTGTTGTCCCGGTTCCTGAACCGGGACTAAATGGTCGGTACCAATGCCCTTTCCCTTTAGTCCTGGTTCAATCCAGAACCGGGACACATGGGCCTCCACGTGGCCTGTGCGCGGAGTCCAGGCAAGAGGGCCTTTGATCCCGGTTGGTG